CCCCCCCCCCCCCCCCCCCCCCCCCCCCCCCCCCCCCCTTTTCCCCCCTCTGTGTGCCCACCGTTGGCAGGGCCGGTTTCCCAGGTCCCGAGTTTAGCCAGCAATCTGACCCAACTTCACACATGAACAGTCCAGGTGCGCAGCAAAAATCTAAGATCGCGCATAAATCTGGGGCATGCACTAGAGGACAGGTCAGATTTGCAGCCAATTGACAAAAAACAAAGATTGGGCACAAATCTGGGCCGTACACCAGAGGACAGCCCAGATTCGCAGCCAATCACCAAGAAAATTTAGATCGGCCGGTCGGAATTTTTTGGTGACTGGCCGGTGATCTGGGTCATCATCAGCCGCACAGTCCAGATCGGCCAATTATGACGATTAGCGGTCTGTATAGCGTGCGGATGCAGAGACTGCACTGAAGAGGGGGGGAAAGGGATATAAACTGCTCAACAGTGGAGGGATTTTCCATTACTCACCAGCCTGATAACTGAATGTGGTCTTCAGCACTTACCAGCTCTGTGATCAGTGTATCCATGAAGACCACGGTAAAACTTGCTGTCCTCCGTCGCTCCTTTGGACAGGGCCTCCTGCGCTTGCTTTAGCACCCTCTCTCGTATGGCTCTAGAATCTCTATCAAACTCTGTCTCCGTTTCGAGGGTGGCAGTTGCCCGGTTGTCAGAATGAGTCTGCACACGTCGCTCCGATTCATAGACAAAGGATGAACCGCCCTTCTTTACCTCTGGTTCACCCTTCTCGTTCTCTTGCTTGCCTGCAGTGGAAAGGGAGCAACTTCTCTCCTTCTTCACCTGTCCAGATGCAGTAAATGCCAGGCCCCTTCGCTGAGCCTTTGGCTTTGGGACTTCTATTGCATCCTCCTCTTTCTCTTCCCCCTCCTCATCCTCCTGCTGCTGCTGCTTCCCCCACTGCTCCTGCTCCCCTTCCTCCCCATCTACTGATTCCTTGTCACTGGTCGTGCCTTGGTGTCGTCGTCGGATGTTCTTGTTTGCCGACCTCTTACGAAAGACATCACAATCTGATCGAGAAGGCAACCAGACCAGACAAGAAAACGAAAACCACCACAGCACGTTAGTAACGGTTAGTTCAATCACTTCCAATCCAACTTGCAACGCCAAAAGTCAGCAAACAGTGTGTATTAACAGGGCCAAAGTCGAAGAGCGGGCGAACTGTCTGTCAAAGAGTGGGCGAACCGTCTGTCTCTGGTCAAATAGAGGAGGCAAATGGATTGAAGGCAATTAGGTCGAAGAAACAAACAAAAACGGTCATAGCCTGGTTATTTCAATTCAGATCCACATACTCAAGGGGGGCGGGGGGGTCATACACAAAGGCCCACTTCGTCACACGGGGGGGCAGCTACCTCTGGGGAACAGCGAAAAGGGAACGAAGCAGGCAAATTTTCCGTAGAAGGCTTTTGTCACACACTTTCAACCCCTCCCCCCTTTCACAGTGAGTTTCTATTTCTGTTTGCCCATGTTTGTGTAGGCACTGTAGGGTCAGGTCCCGCTTGTGTCATGTTTGTGCCATGCTCGCATGAACCTGGCCAGCTTCATCAACAAGTTCATACATACTTAGCACGCATCATACATACTTACTTAGACGCAGGCATGACAGCAACCCGGGACCCTACCCTTAGTCCTTTCTGCAGATCAGCTAGCTGTCCAAACTGGACTCCAAATCTTTGACAAAGAGCCCACCGGCACTAGTCGACATTCTACACATACCTGGACTGTTTCACGGATCAGATACGATCGGACTGATTAAACATTTTTCAATGTATTGGAACCATCAACAGATCCAGAACGGTGTGCAGTCGACCGAGGCCCAAAGACTCAATGTGACCCACATGAGCACTCTGTGATGTGCCTGTCCATCCATCCAAACAAGCCATGTGGCATCGTCTTCTTCCACATGGAGACACTGAGACAGACAGACTATCAGCATTCACACTCCCTTCTACTCAGTGATTCAAATGACGGCCTGCCACTCAATATGGTGATCTTGTTGGAAAAGGGCAGCCCAAGTCGAGTGTTGTTTCCACTGTAATCCCCTACCAACGTAGCTACCCAGTAAGGCCATATTGGACCAGATCTCTTGGGCCAGTAATGGCCTCTCTCAGTTCTCTTTAATTACCTACAAGACGGACCAGCGCAGCTCTGCCTGCGTGAATCAGGGAGTTTTATTTGAACACGAAGGCGGGGGCAAACCAAAAAAAAAGGCATTCCGTGGAATTTTGGCAGGTCTTTACATGAGGGAAGCAGGTAACGATGAGCAAAATAAGAATGCAGTACCCACTTCCTGATTGTGATGTGTAAAGACCTGCCTCCTAGGAAGAGACGAAACGAAATGAAAGGAAACAAAAACAAACACACGACGTGGAGACACACTTAGTGCCAACGGACTGTGATAGTCCTCTGGATAACCCTGATCGGTATGAGCGGGGTCTATGACCAACACGGGTGTGAGTGTGAGTGCGAGTGGGTTGTGTGTGGTGTGTGGGAGAGTGTTGGTCATAGCCTCTGCTGCTACTCGATGAAGGG